TTAGGTGGTCAAAATTTAAGCCTAAATGATCTCAGCTGTGTGTCAAAGGCTATTTCATCTCCAGAATAGCATCAGCTGTGTCATATTGATTTGAATTTAAAAAGTACTGGCCGCTCATGCTACCGCACTGACAGAGTTGAGGCAGCACAAATTTCGCTGCGTGATTTGGTATTCTCTGAGCGGTCCATCATTATGATTATTGTTGGCACTCAAACTTCTTCCACATGCCTCAACCTTCCGCAGAAAGTGAAATATGAAGGAAGTTTTGACTTTGACTTTTCGCGCTATTTTTGTTTTTTAGCTCATAAAACATTGCTTACAAACTGAGAAACACTATCGTTGGGCTACGAAGTTCACGTAATGCAGTGCAAAATTCAAGTTCACGGATAATCTTTGAATTTGCTGTAAAACGACTGAACATAGGTGAAGACACATTTCCAGTCTGGCTGGTCGCCCATCATTAACATATCGTCGACCTCCAGTAGTCGCACGACTCCATTTTGCCTGCAAGAAATAATTTATTTTTGAAACTTTATGCAGTAACTACAGATTCTTAAAAAAAACCGGAAGAAAATTGATAAAATGTTTCCGCTGCTTGTGATAACAGTAAGTATATGTATGTTATCAAAATACACATGGATATTCAGGTAGGATTTGTCATATGGGTTGGTAGCGTAGTGGATGACACGTTACGATTCGAAGAAATCAAGGATTTTGACGATAAGATGTTCGATCTTCTCCCGACCTTAGTTTGAAAAAAGAGGTCCCGTCTGGCATCAGTTAAAAGCAGTTTTACAAATGGCTAAGAGTCTACCACTAGAACTGCATTAAAAAAGCACACAGACTCTAAATTATATGAGCACTAAAAACCGCAGAAACACCTCATTTTAGCTATGCTTAATTGGGATTCATGTGGAAAAAAAAAGGACCAACTCGGCCACCCTAAATGCCAATTCAAAATTCTCTCTTCGATCTTTCGGATTGAGTGTTCGAAAATCGAACGAATTTGGTGCGAATCGATGTATCAATGCACAGAATGCCATTCCATCAGCCCAACTGGATGAAAAATTTCTGATTTCAACCTGAAATAAGCTAGAATTGACCATCCTCTCTTACGATGTCTCAAGCTGTGATGCTGGATAGTTTTAGCGAAATTGACACTTTGTCTGGTTTTATGCATTTCGAAATGTGTAGAAGAAAAACGCTACAGGGCTGAATCTCTCACCTCAGTGTAGATTCTCTTTTCGGATAATTCAACAGAACTACGAAACTCAAAAACAAAGCTTTATAAGCCGCAAATGAAGCACAGGGTCAAAATATTAGACAAGTTTGCGATACGCTCTATTACAACTTTTGGTTCCAAGTCGGTTTTAAA